TTTGAATAGGAGCCAAACAGCCTGAAGAAATCTCTCTACAACTAAGCTATTCATGAAGTGCTTTGCCAGTTAACACGAACAGACAGAAAACTATATTTATAATGCTTCATATGATATCACTACACCCAGGAATAATGACATACTTATGTGGATTACTGACTGCAGAAACATTACTTTCTGTACGTTGGTAATTAGATGATTGGGCAGATTGAATTGAATCCTCGGATCAATTCAAGCATGATTTAAATATAAGAATAGCATAGAGGGTTTGTTGCCTGCCGATTAGAATTCAGAAAGCAATATATTCACAGTAGTGCCTGTAGGGACAACGTTATACTAATATGAAGATGTAGCTTAGTATATAGCTGTAGAAGATAATTTTCACAAGTGCGCAAACAGCTGGATAGGCCAGATCCTCGGACCTATTTAGGCGGAGTGTTTATTTACTTATGTCAAATCAGTTCTAAGTATTATCATAATACGGTGCATTTAGTAGTCTTTCCAATAATTGAATCGAACATATACATTCATGCATAGGTTGCTAGCTACATGGACGATAAAGTATGTGCTTTTGATACCTCAGTAGTATACAGTTCGATAGATTGAGCCCTCGATTCGATTATATTCTTAGTATTCCAACTGCATTTGCTGCATAAAACTAGTAGTGTTATCGGAATTTAAGCTGGGCGTAATTCAAAAGAATACGTTTAGGGAAGCTTAAAGGCAGTATCATACGTCTAGTTGCTGACTTTCTCTTCATAGCCCTTAAAACCCATATGTGTGTACTCCAAAAGTACCCAAACGCAGCGGTAGACTTTGACCCCTGAACCCAATTTTCACACTTCCACGTACGGCCCTCATGATCGATTTCAAGATAAACCCTATTCAGTTCAATAATGTGGGTGTCGGTTTAGTAGTGGGGTACCCCCCCCCCCCCCCCCCGACCAAAAAAACAAAAATCTATTTAAAGTGGAGCCGGACAGGGGTCAGGGGTCTGAGTGGCAGGGAATTGGGAGGTGCCGGGGTTTGGGGGGTTGGCTTGGGTGCAGGGTCTGCGGTTCTGCGCGAATGCGCGGTCGGGGGTCGGGGGGGTCTGGGGATCACCAAATGCTGGAAACCAAGCCCCGATCACTCCAAGACTATTACCAAGACTAAAAACCCTTCATTTTGAACACTTTTGCTTCCGTAACCTACACTCACACACTCCCACCCACAATCGACCACGTCTGAAGCTTTGTGCGGTGCAATAATAGTACAGTAGTACAATAGTAGTACAGGAGAAATAATACAGTAGTAGTACAATAGTAGTACAATAATAGTGCAGTAGTACAATAGTAATACAACAGTAGTACAGTGGTAGTACAATAGTAGTACAGTAGTAGTACAATAATAGTACAGTAGTACAATAGTAGCACAATAGTAGTACAGTAGTAGTACAGTAGTAGTACGATAATAGTACAGTAATACAATAGTAGTACAGTAGTAGTACAGCAGTAGTACAATAATAGTGCAGTAGTACAACAGTAACACAACAGTAGTACAGTGGTATTACAATAGTAGTACAGTAGTAGTACAATATAGGTACAGTAGTACAATAGTAGCACAATAGTAGTACAGTAGTAGTACAGTAGTAGTACGATTATAGTACCGTAGTACAATAGTAGTACAGTAGTAGTACACTAGTAGTGCAGTAGTACAAAAGTAATACAACAGTAGTACAGTGGTAGTACAATAGTAGTACAGTAGTAATACGATAGTAGTACAGTAGTACAATAGTAGTACAGTAATAGTACAGTGGTAGTACAATAGTACACTAGTAGTACACTAGTAGTACGCTAGTAGTACACTAGTAGTACAACAGTAGTACAGTAGTACAGTAGTAATACAGCAATAGTACAGAAATAAAACCAATAAGCAAAGCATAAAGCCAGTGAGCACATTCCCCCAATAAGCAAAGCATAAAGCCAGCGCCTGAAACCCTAAACCCTAAACCCTGAACCCCAAACCCTAACAAACCCTAAACCCTAACGAACCCTAAACTCCTAAACCCTAACAAACCCTAAACCCTAAGCCCTAAACCCTTCCCAAAGGGGGGTCGGTCCAGATTGGACCCAAAAATGAATTTTTTATGCAAACTTTAGTATTGGAGAGGCCTCTTTTGAGCTAGGGTCCAATCCCCGATTCGGCGGTTCACCCTAGCAGCCCCCCCCAATAAGCAAGGCATACAGTAGCAGTACAATAGTACAATAGTAGTACAGTAGTAGTACAGAGTCCCATTCCTGACGCCCCAATAAGCGAAACATTTCTGCAAGAGATTTTCGGGCTTCAGGGCCAGGGTTTTAGGGTTGGGTGGGGGTTTGGGTGGGGGTTTAGGTCGTGGCTGCCTTAAGATTGACCATCAGCAAATAGCACAGCCCCGCCACCAAAAAAACACCCCAGCCAAAAAAAAAACGCATTAATTAGTACCCCAAAAATTTTACTCGGATTCGGAATTAGCCCCCAACAAAACGCATCAAAGGAGCCTATATTCCTAAACCGACACCCACATTAGGGCCTATTGAACTCAATAGGCCTCCCGGATTGAAGATTGAAGATCTCCCAGGAAACTTTTCGAGGGCATCTTCAGTCTTCAATCTTCAATCCAGGAGGCCTATTGAATTCAATAGGGCCTATTGAATTCAATAGGCCTCCTGGAATGTGCGACAGGAAATGGTACAAGGATTATTGTATGCAGGCTTGTATGAAAACCACAAGGGGGTTGTATCATGCATGTTTGTCCCTACACCTTAATAGGGTTGTTATTGGCACCCTGCCCCCCAAGACCAACGACTATCGGCTAGTGTAAGTAGGCTTCTATCTAAAGCTCATATAGAAACCTTGGTCTTTGGGGGGGGTACAATATATGTATATAATATTATATTACATTGTAGTTTATTGTATTATATTATATTATATGCATCCTGCTATTTTGGGGGTTATAGGCCCAGGGTTGCTAAATCAGGTTCCTGCATTAGCATGGCCATCACAAATACGAAGACTTAGAGTCGCTGCCACGAGGGAGTTTCCGAAAATAGGGGTACCTTATCCAATCTTGGGGTCCTTATAACAAAAACCCTACTACATAGGGTACTTTGTAAGGGTCCCCTATTTTTTGGGAAACTCCCATGATACCAGGGACCTAAAGCTGTACCTTTTCCACTTCTCCTCAGGGCTGGTCCGCAGCTCTTCGGCAGTTTTCGGAGGAGGTGCGCCACCTCTCCAAAGATGCCTGGAGCCGAGGACAGGTCTACGGAAAACAAGAACTAGTCCCTACAGACTTGGTGGAATAAAGGAACGCAGCGGTGATATCAAACATGTGGATGGCGATGCGAATAGTGATAGCCAGTTGTGATCAGCGTTTCCATGAGGGGAAGCATGCAGCTAGCAATAATGCTGACAACAGCTAAGAAGAAGCATCACCAACTCGTGGTCATCGTGATCGCCGAGGAATGCAACGATGACGATACACCCGTGCACGCTCGGTAAGCAGCAGCAACTGAACGTAGTCGCCAAACTCAGAATGGTCTGAGCAGTGGTGATTATGATAACATCATTGTCACCACCTCTGTCGTCATCGTTTTCACCTCCACTAACGTTGCCTTCTTCACCACACTATGGAGGCCTTCATGTCATGAATCGACTTCCTTCCGACCGCGTCCTCAGGCTGGTCGGACCCAAAGCCAGCTTGAGGTGAGGACATTCTTCGATCTCCAGGCGTCCTTTGCAGTGCTGAGACTTTTGGATGTCCAGGCACTTTTAGAATTTAAGGTCTAGGGTTCCTTCGCTTCGCTTTCATGTGGGGATTGGGGCTTGGCGTGGCCAAATTGGTGCTTCCTTCTTAGCATCCCGGAATGGTGTCTTAAGGTGCAATCAGCTTGACTTAAAGCCCGGATGGGCATTGCACCCTCAACGCCCTCTAACCCGTCTCAAACCCCGCTGCAAGTCCCCAAGAGCGCTGCAATATCGTTTTATAGAGAGCCATTTCGGGTGGCTGCCCCTAACCCCAAATCCTAGACCCTAGATGCTCAACCCTGAATCCTACACCCCAAGCCCTGGTGAGGGCTACAACCTGGAGAGCTTTGCGTCGAAGACAGGGCCCGAACCTGGCTCTCTCCTGCTGTCATGCCTCCTCGTTTACCTTTGTAAGGGCTCTATGGTTTTAGAGGCTGAGAGGTTATGCATGGGTCCCCTAAACCCTAAACCCTAAACCTCTGCATGGGTTTCGATGGGGAGTCCTCGTGCCCTCGTCGCTGCTCCGGGCCTGACCAGAGCAAGGGGCTCCCAACGATAATAATAACAATGATACTACTACTACTACTACTACTACTACTACTACTACTACTACTACTACTACTACTACTACTACTACTACTACTACTACTACTACTACTACTACTGCTAATAATAATAACAATAATAATCATAATAATAATAATAATATTAATAATAGTAATAATAATAGTAATAATAATAATAATAGTAACAATAATAATAATAGTAGTAATAATAGTAATAGTAATAATAATAATCATAATCATAATAATAATAATAATAATAATAATAATAATAATAATAATAATAATAATAAGAGTAATAGCAACTATACTGGTGATAGTAAAAGCAATTGGCAAGTAATTATAGTAGTAATGATAATAGTAATTGTAATAGCAATGTTACGATAGTAATAATTATCATAGTAATGACAACAGCAATCTGAATAATTCTAATACGAATATAGCAAGTTCTTCCTGGCTCCCTCTCCCTGATCCTGCCAGGATGTACATGTTCTACTCGCGGATTTTCGAGAAGGTGGTCAGGGCCCCGAGATGGTGCACCTAGGGAGTCTGGTGGAAGCCCATGAGTAGACTCTGAGTGGATTGTTGGAACCTTGCGGCTAGGATTGGCTTCGATCTTCGGATTTGGCTCGAGCTTGATGCAAAAAGGGACAGTTAGAGCACATCATGAAACTGAAGAGGTTTCTGCTGCGCTACGATCCACCGGGAGTTGGCCTCGAAGTGGAGGCCGATGACCAGGTCACCGTCCAGCACAAGAACCTGCCGGCGAAGTCCGAGGTCTCCACGTCGAAGGAAGTCCACACCTTGGTCGACCAGTTGATCGAAGCAGAGCCCGCTCTACTGACGCGAAAGCGGCATAGAGAAGGCTTGATCCAGTTGCTCGGAAGGTTGTACCAGGTGGAGACTGCAGAGGAGGAGAGGCCAAGCGAGGGGGCAGGGCCAGGGCGAGAGGACGCAGCGGAGGATCCAAAGGATCGGGATGAGCTGCATGGGCAAAGTGTGGTTCTCACCGGCCTCTCCGGATCTCAGCAGGCCTTCAACGGCGAGGTAGCCGTCGTTGTGAAGGCACGTGGAGACAAGCAGAAGTACGAGGTGGAGGTGAAGGGGCAAGTGGTGAAGGTCAAGGGAAAAGAGCACTTGCTCCAGGTCTCTAGCAAAGGCCCACTGGCTGCAGGTGCCTTCGTGGCCATCCGTGGGCTGCGCAACCATGTTGAACTCAACGGATGCGTAGCCCGGGTGGCGGAGTGCCACGAGGAGTCCCAGCGCTATGAGGTTCGTGCCTTAGACAGTGGCCAGCTCTTCCGGGTAAAGAAGGACAACGTGATCCTCATTGAGACCACGCCTGCAGTGCTCGCAGCCTCGGCGGCGATGAAAGAAAACCGTGAGCCGAACACATCCCCCCGCAAGGAGGGTAATTTACCGGCAACGGGTGAGACAGACGATGTGCTGGAGGTAGGCTCGACGGTCGAGCTGGTAGGATTGAAGACCGCCCAGGCATACAACGGCCAGCAAGCAGAGGTCCTCTCTGTGGATCAGGTTCGAGGCAGGTATGAAATCAGACTCGGTGATGGCAGCGTGAAGACGATCCGGGCTGAAAACGTACGCTTGCTCCAGGGAAAGAGTCCCAGAACCAAGCGGGGCAGAGACAAACTGCTCTAGGCCCTGGCTAGTTTCACAGAAGAATTCACCCATCTGCTTTGCGTTCAATCTGCAGGCACCGGCTGGAACGTATCCGTATAGAAAAACATGCTCGCGTGCAATCGCGTGTTCAGCCTCTCTTTCCGGGAGTGAAGCCGTCAAGGTGTCCAGCTTTTTCATCATCATAGCAGCGTCGGCTCGTGCCTTTGCGTGTTTGATCCAAGGTCGGCAAGCAGAAAGGAGTGGAAGTGCAGCTCTTTGCTCCGATCAACTTTGACGATCGGTTGTGCGGTCCCCAGAAATCAGCCGTCAACCCATTCTTGGGCTGCTTCTGAGGCATCGTTGATAAATTTGGTGTTGCCCTCACATTCAAAAACATAGGCATGGTCGCAGCCATAGTCATGGTCACAGTCAGTAGTCAGTAGTTACAGTCATGTTATCATGAGCTATGATAGCCAATGACAGTGACAGTACATCACAGACCGAGTAGGAATTGAATACTAGAGCCAAACCTACCTCCGGCGCTTCCGACGTTGACGAGGGTGAACCCGCCTTTTCTTACGTTTCGTGTGTGGAAATCGGGTTTACATCTAAGTTACGCTTGTCGTGGTGGCTTACCTTAAACCCTAAACCCTAATCCCTAATCCCTAAACCCTAAACCGTACAAGCATTGCTGCCGCTCCTGGCCCTGCTTCTGCAGGTGCCCTTGTTACACCACTCGTGCTGCTTCCGTGATTCCGAATTTTTACTGCGACTACGACTGCTGCAGCTGCTGTCGTTGTCGAGGATCGCGGCGTGAAGCAAGAACGAGAGCAACAGCTGGGAAGAGCATGAGTGCAATACGGAAGTCAGGGGTAGGAGCCACAGAAATGGAGGACACAGAACAGAACAGTGATGCCAGAATATAGTATAGCAGGTCATCGTCCAACCATTGCTACCACTCTACTATTATGTTCGACCTACTGCTACTACTTACTACTTACTACTTACTACTACTACCACTACCACTACCACTACCACTACCACTACTACTACTACTACTACTACTACTACTACTACTACTACTACTACTACTCCTACTCCTCCTCCTCCTCCTGCTGCTGCTGCTACTGGTACTAGTACTACTACTACTACTACTACAACTACTACTATTGCTACTGTTCTCATAACGTCGCTACGACGGCTTCCCCCCCCGTTGCTGCCCAGGCTTGGCTTCCGAGCCATCCTGGAGTGGGCCAAAGATTTCAAAATGATGCCCGTGCGCCAGGGGCTTGGTGTTTGGCGAGCAAGAGCCGTCTTTACTTCAGGGTTTGGCTTTTAGAGTTCAGGGTTGAGAGATGACGAAATTCAACACCACCAGGTCTACAACCACAAACCCACTCCAACAAAGTTACTTGACCCTAAACCCTGGAAGGTGCAAAGGCCTTTTGCGCTTGCAGCCTGAGCTTGACATAGAGAAACCTGTGCTTCGGGCAGCAGCCGCGAGGACTGCTAGTGACTACTGCCCCATGAGCATTCCTATCAGCATCATCTTCTTCATGACATCTTCATCACTATCGTCACCGTCATGTCATCCTGAGAAGCATCTTCGTGTAGCATTGTAGCTGCAACCGTTCTGTTGTGCTTTTTGCCAGTACCGCCACAGGTGTGCCCCGACGGCAGCTGGAACGGATTTTCGTGACCTGGGCTGCACTTCGCCATTCCGGCATGCACAAAGCAGATTCTAGCCCAAATTGGTCCTATGCACCAGCACTTCAAGACGACATGATGAGGAGACGCAGCAGAGGGAGACTCGCAGGTGCGGAGGTGAGACAGATGGACACACACACACACACACGGACATACAGACACACAAAATAACACAAACACGCGCATAGAGAGAGAGAGAGAGAGGGATAGAGACAAAGACATAGTACTTTTTGATATGTATATATATATATATGTAATATGTACATATACAGACATCGATACATGTACACATATACTTCTGTATGCATTAAGACGCCGAGATAGATACTGGCTTGTACAGCTCTCTTTGCACCTGCCTGGCCAGTCCGTTTGTTTCTCGCTCTGTCTTCCTCTCTCTGCCTTACTGCTGCGCCAACCGTTTGGGCGGTGGCGACCTCCTGGCAGAGGTGACTTGTCACGCTGGCAACATGCCCTCGCATGAGAAGTTCGCTTCCAAGATCACGTGCCTCGGATGCCTGGTGATGCCGGTCTGGCGTTTGGCACCTGGAGACACCTTCAACATCGCAAGCACGGCAGATATCGATAGATCACGTCGCAACCTGCCTGAGGTATCCAGAAGCCCGGGCCATAGTCTCAAGTCCAAATGTGGTGCGGCTCTCTTCATCCCGCAATTCAATGACGAGTGAGTAATCTGCCTGCAAAGCAAGAGATATGCCATGAGCTGGAGCCGAGTTCTTGACGTTGGTGACGTTCTGCGGTAACACGGGCGAGCCCATGGATTTGTCCAGGCGCTGATGTTGTAGCACCGACTTAAAGTTTAAAGGAAATCTGGGGGAGCTCCTGCAGTGCATAAATCCTACATCTTGACACGATGTAGGGTAACTAATTCAGCGATCGCAATGCTTCATCTCGTGACAGGGTGGACGGAAGCCGATTTCGCGAAAACGAGACTCGCAGATGCCTTGGCTTTTGTTTGTCCGTAGCAGCTTGCAAGCTGTAAGTTTCATAGGAGTTTCACCTGCGTAGGCTTCGAAGTCATGAAATGCCATGTTGTCTGAAGCCTTCTTGCCTGCCGGGTTATTGGCTCAAGCATGGTTAGCCGCTTGAAACCTCATCAACGGCTGCTATCGCGATCTCGACCTCGACCTCTTCGAGTTCACATCACATTGTCTCTTCTTTCACTAAGAGCTCTACTACTGGACTCCATCATGGCAGTCCTCAGCTCATGCTACTCGTTCTTCACCAGCTCCACTACGCTCAACATCACGTTGCGGACTATGGTCCTGGCGGCTCTCACCTCCATGCTCTTCAACGCCATCGACCTTCGTCTTCCAGTCCCAGCTGCGGTGGAAGAGTTGACCGTCGTGGTGGTACTTCTCGCCCTCGAACTTGGTCTCAGCCGAAACCGCCAGGACAGCACGACCAAGAAGAGCAAGCCATGCCCCGGTGAGCGGCGTGTCTACGAAGATGTCACCGGCCTCGCTGGGCGGCTCCAGGCAGCAGCCAAGGCAGGTGACACGGATGCAGCAGAGGCCTTGATGGAGAGGATTCTGGGGGAGGGTACCAAGCCCAGTTTGGTTTGCTATGGAGCCTTGATCTCAGCCTTTGCTAAAGCCGGGGATGTGAAGCGTGCGGAGTATTGGCTGGAGGCTCTTGAAGCCTCCGGTGTAGGCAGCCCTAACGGGATCTGCCTGAATATGTTGATCAGTGCCTGTGCCAAAGCCAATGCTGTTGATCGTGCAGAGTATTGGCTTGTGAAGATGCCTTCTTTGGGATTGAGCCCGGATGTCATGAGCTACAACGCCGTCATCGATGCTTGCGCAAGGACGGGGGATGTGGTTCGGGCAGAGCGTTGGCTTGAGAAGATGAAGGCTTCTGGCACAACCCCCAATGTTGTCAGCTACAGCTCCGTGCTGCATGCCTGTGCACGCAGCTGCGATGCCAGTCTGGCCGAGCGCTGGCTCGAGCGCATGTCCAAGGAGGGCGCTGAGCCGAATGCCATCTGCTACAATGCCGTGATCAATGCTTGGTGCAAGGAGGGCAACACCCGACGTGCAGCTCATTGGCTCGAGCAGATGTCCGTGCGAGGAGTCCAGCCCACCGTCAACAGCTACAGCACGATCATCGACAAGTTGGCGAAGGCTGGTGACATCGACGGAGCCGAGACCTGGCTGATGCGTATGGCAGAGGCAGGGGTGGAGGCAGATGCCGTCTCATACAACATGCTCTTCAGCGCTTGCAGCAAGATGGGCGATTCAGTCAGGGCCGGCAAGCTCTTCGATCAGATGATGCAGCGCAAGGTAACCCCAAACACAATCTGCTTCAATCTGATCATCAACACTCACAGCCGTCAAGGTGATTTCTACGCTGTTCTTCGACGTCTGCGCCAGATGCGCGAGCAGGGCATCCAAGCTGATCGTGTCAGCTTCAACACCTCGCTGAAGGCCTTCTCGCGTTGCTCCGATTGCAAGGCCGTGGAGAAGCTCCTGGAGGAAATGCACAGTGCCGGTGTGAAGCCCGACGTCGCGGCCTACAACACCTTCATTGCTGTGTGCATGCGTGCCAAGGACGCTTCCAAGGCCGAGGAATGGCTGTGTCGAATGACAAGCGCTGGCGTGCAGGCAGATGCCGTCAGCGACTGGGATGCCGTCTGTTATCAGTTTCGGGAGACTGGTGACTGGTAGGTGCTTAGCCGGATACAGACACCACATGTATCATTTGTGGCATAGTTCAGCCGATGCTCCGAGGCTACTGCACCATGATCGATGCCTTTGCACAGAGCGGCGACTTGCACCGTGCCGAGAAATGGCTCGAGAAGATGGAGCGTTCTGGGCTCCAGGCGTGAACTCTGCGCACTCGTGATTCTTGCTAGTGATTCTTGTCTAGCGCAAGCATGGTCCAGATCTGACCAGCCATGCATCCGACTTGAGTGCTTCCTTCCCTTGCCGGCACTTGGGATAGAATTTCTCACAGGTTGGTGCCACAACCTACGGGTTGCTGATCAGAGCCTCGGCAGACATAAGCAACAACCCTGGCATGCGATCAGCGGTGCCTTCTGTGGCATTTCTTAGACACGCCAAGCAGACTGACGAAGGTACGGTCGCGAAGATGGGTGATGTCGGCCGTGTGGAGCGCATCTTCGAGCGAATGGACCGTGCCAACGTCGAGGTCAACGGCGCCACCTGACACATGTAGAGGAAGTGTCATGTGTAGAGGAAGTGTAATGAGCCGTGTCAAGCCGGCCGCTGTCTTTGTAGTCTTACTGCACGGTCTCCGTCCCGCCAGATGGGTTTACATGGTTTGCATGATGGAGACTTCGTGCCATTTTCCGCTTGCTAAATCTGAGTCCACCTACAACGCGCTCATCTCGGCCTGCGCTCGGAAGGGGGATGTGGACCGGGCCGAGTTCTGGCTGAAGAAGCTCCTGAAGTCCAACGCGCAGGCGGACGTCGCCAGCTACTCCTCGGTGATCCACGCGTGCGCCAAGGCGAACAGCCTTCGCCGGGCTGAGGCACCTCTCTTAGAGAAAGCACCAGAAAGTTACCAGTAGCTGCCATGAGTCATAACTGTCATAGCTCTGTCGTTCCCTGTCGGTTCCTCTCCTTCATGCTTTCCCTAGACGGGCTACTCACAGGATTGACAGCCTCCACCTGATTCGTAAGGCTTGGATCGAACAGATGGAGCACGACGGCATCCCAGCCAACGTGGTGACCTACAACAGCGTGACTGGGGTGTGGTTAAGGAATCTGTAATTAGTCACCAAAACATGGAAAATATGGATGCGTAGTAAACCGTACCTTAAGTTTCTTACAACAAGAACTCAGGTGATCAACGCCTGCGCTCGCTGCGGGGACGCCACGCGTGCGGAGTATTGGTTTCAGAAGATGACGTCCCAGGGAGTCCAGCCCGGAGTCCTCACCTTCAACTCCCTGGTGGGGGGTTGTATGCAAAAACGTCTAGGTGGGTGTGTTTTCCTTCTAGGGATCACGGGGGGATCGCTAGACAGCAATATTCAATAAGGGTCCTTTAGGGATGAAGCAGTCGCAGTCGGATCCCTGATTTCTGGAAGCTGTGAGGTGAACGCCTGCGCCAAGGCCTTGGATGTGGATCGTGCTGAGAAGTGGCTGAAGGAGATGCCAAAGCACAATGTCCAGCCGGATGACGTGTCCTACAGCACCGTGATCCATGCCTGCGGCACAGCCCAGGAACCCGAGCGAGCCGAGCAATGGATGAAGCTGATGATCTCTTCACTTTGTAGCCAGGGTGAGAAGCCGGGCTCTTTCTGCTACAACTCCATTGCCCAAGCCTGGGTTCGAGCTGGCGATGTGGACCGGGCCATGCACTGGCTTTCGGAAGCAGAACGCCTTGGGGTGGAAGTGTCCTCTGCGAGCTTGAACGGTGTGGTAAGTGCACTGACCCGAGCTCGCCGACACAGCGAGGTGGAACTTTGGTCCTCGAAGGTTCGCAAAGATCGGGGCGACAGGGGCGAGCGCCGCTACCCGCAACGCCGCCAGGCTCCTGGCCGCTGAAGCCCAAGGTGGCGGAAAGTGGCGCTGACGGGGCGTAGCCGGCGTGGAGTGCATTGTAGCAAATGCGCATCCATGTAGCTCCGGACAGGCACCGGCACGCTGCCAAATCCAAAAGTTCGGCCCATGCCAGTGTTGCGCTTTACCCTAAGCCCTATTGTCAATGTCCTGTGTGTGGCACTGATGCTCAGGCCTGGAGCAGGTGAAGCGACTGGCCACATTCCTTTGCTTCCCGGCCAGCATTTGCTACGGTTTAGGGTTTAGGGTTTAGAGTCTGGAGTTTAGAGTGTTTTTGCTTCTGCATTGCTACTCTGCCCTCTTCTCTGGCTTTGGAGTCACCTGACAAGCATCAGCCGAGGCTTAAATAATTCGAAGAAGGCGCGAGTTTCCAGACCTGCGCAGCCCATGCTTTCATTCGTGACCCTAAACCCTAAAGTCCCTAAACCCCCCTCGTCCTGTCAGGTGAAGCTGCACCTCCACAATGCCTACCGCGACACGCACTTCTGGAAGCTGAGTCACTTGTTTCGTCTGAAGTCCTTAAAGGAACACTGGAGCACGCCCGGATCATTGTTGTAAGTATATTGCTCATCGTTATGGTCGTTATTAACACTTTGCTGTGTTGTTGTTACTATCATTGTGTTGCTCCTCTGACAAGTATCGTTTCCACCATCAGTTTGTTTGCTTTCGTTGTTGGTGTTGTTTGCTGTCGTTGTTACTGTTTTCCTCCCTGACGGGACTGTTCTTATTAAGCCAGTTAGTCTACGAGTCTACGGCGACGACGACGACGACGACGACGACGACGACTACTACTACTACTACTACTACTACTACGAGTACCACTACTACTACTGTCGTCATGGGCGGAAGCCCCTGGCCCCTGGATCATCCTTATGATACTGGGCCCCCTGAAAGCAAAGCCGCAGCCTCGTTCCCAAGGTGATGGTGCCGACTTCCAGAAGGTGCGACGTCAGGGCCTGCAGGGTGACCGGTTTCGACTCGGGCTCCAATGTGTGTGTGTGTGTGTGTATTCATATATACATATATATATATATATATGTAAATATTCTGTACACTGTATCTGCAGCTGTCTACACTCCCTCAAGAATGATGTGACCGGTTTAACAGCGGGTCCAAACCCGAAACCCAATGATCCTTTATGCAAGCTGGCAAGACGTTATAACGGCTCTACATGCCTAACCGTAAATGTCCTTCTGAAGCCCGACAAGGCCGTATAAAGATTCCGTCTCGTCCCACTAGAACTCTTTAAACTTTCTTTAAAGGCCCTAGAAAAAGCCCGTAAATCAACTTCGTGTCAAATTTTGATACAGGCGCAAGCCCAAGAAACATCCCGTGAATCGACACTCCTTGTAACGCTCCTCCAAAGTGCGAGTCCTTGGAAGGAAGCCAGAGCTGCCGAGATGAGATCCCGACCCCACTACGAGGCCGGGAGTCGGCTTTGAGGTTAAGCGTTTGAGGATCTTCAGGGGTTTGCAGTTTTAGAGTTTAGAGTTGAGAGACTCAGGGTTTAGAGTTTAGAGTTGAGAGACTCAGGGTTTAGAGTTTAGAGTTGAGAGACTCAGGGTTTTATGGTCTTGGAGTGTTAAGGGTTTCGGGCGTTGCTTTTGGAGGGCTTGGGCGGACGACTCGAGCACACTGCGTGTAAGGTTGGGTGCCTGGAGATTGACGCAGAAATCACTGCGGCAAAGAAGTTTCTGGAGAAGTTCACCTGGACAAATCCAGACAATCTCTGGGAAGAGTTTGAGGCAGGCACAGAGCGGTCACGCGATGTTGCATATGCTTCCTTCTCGTATTCTAGTGCAAAAATTCTGGAGTGCCACCAGGGTTCGCATCTTTTGATTGTGTGCTTAATTAGATTGCTTTTGATTGTGTGGTTAGTCAGATTGCACCATCTCCGCGAGAGAGACAATTTTTAGTTCCGATCCTTCCGTAAGTGTTGGCTTTTCGCCTGATTCAGTCGAGCTTTGAGCCTTTGGATCGAAGGCACCCTTCTTGGACATGGGCGCCAGCGTGCTGAACCAGAAGCCCAAACGCTTCAGGCTTCAGAGACTCGCCTATGCCGCGTCCAAGCTGTCGTGGTTTGATCGCTGTTCTTTCGTGGAGTGCCAAGTGAAGTGTAGCCTTACTATACTGTATACCATACCATGTACTATATTTTCAATCCAATATAGTATAGTAGTGTAGAGGAGAGGATAGTAAAATCCATTTTGCAATCGAGGATCATCAATCGAGCCCTTGTGCTCGCGAAGCTGAGCATCCAGCTTTCCAACACGGGTCCCTTGAGGCTTCCCTGGAAGGACGGTTTCGTCTCAGACTCTACTTGGAGGTTCATGGGTAGTTATAAGTGGGGCCATAAGTCCCCCTGATAATGTGGGTTATAACTATAGTTATCCTACTTGTAACCCTACTTGTAGCTACCCATGAACCTCCAAGTACTTGCGGCCTCCAGAAGACTACATGTTGAGAGTTTTTTGTTAAGACTTCCCCTACATCTTCTGTAGATTGAAAGTAGGTTCTGAGGCTCATCGTACGGTTTGGTGCAGTTTAGGGCGCACAGTTGACGGTTGGAGAAGCTTCCCCGGAAGGACTGCATGGTCGGACCTGGGCAGCATGTCAATGCACCTTGGACGCTCTGAGTGTCCGGATCGGCTCACTTCATCAAAAGGGTTTGATTGAATGACGGTCCGGTCGTCTGTCCTTCATATCATGAACATCTCTGTCTTCCAACAACCCCGTTTTGGACCGGAAATCCGGCACAGCAGCAAAGCTAAGCCACATGACAGCCAGTTGACAAGCGGGACCACTTCCTTTTCAAGGTGCCCCCCTTCCCCTACGGCCTACACACCGCAGACCCAGGTCCTGATCGACACAGCACCCATCGAGTGCGGTGAGTGGCGCGGAGCCATTCGCGTTTTAGGCAGTTGGGCGACCTCGCGGCACTTGGTTTGGGATTTCTGGTCGGGGATCGACACAATGTTGATGACGCCGCTCGTGCATACCAAGGCTGGGTTCTTTGGGAATGTGGAGGGCGAGGTGCGCATCCCGACCTACTTCAGGGTTCAGACGCAGCAGAAGGATAAGGATGCAGGGAGGACTCTCCCGGTGCATGCTCCAAGACCTTTCCGGCCTGGCAGCGCGAACAGGAGCGGCCGACACTAGAGTGTGTAGGATGTGTAGAGGACGTTGTCGTAACCCTAATCCCCCAAACTTAAGCCCTTGACCCCCATTAAGCCCCTGCAGAAACCTGCTAAAATGAAGCCCTCTCAAGCTCTAAACCCTAAACCCCTACAGCCTGAACCCTGAGTCCTAAACCCCCAACCCTAAACCCTAAACCCTAAACCCCTAAGCTATAGTATGTGATGAGGATCTGGATCGACCCTGCGACTTTGCACCCCCAGCAGCTCCGGAGCCCGACGCCACTGCGGCTTCGACCGGCGAGCTCCTCGGCCCCTTGGCTCACGATCCTTCGCGAAGATAGATCGATAGATAGATGTGTGTGTATAAAATATATATATATATATATATATATATATATATATATGAGGACGATGATGTATACTGACGATGACTGTCGAATTATTGCCGCCGTAATCTTGACTACTATGTTCACAGCTTGGAAAACAGCTCGGGAGAAGGCCTCATGCTGTGCTGGTGTGGCGTTTCCGGGCATCCTGCTCGCATCGGCAGTCCGCGTGGTGACACTTACGAGTGTCGTCGCGGTAGAACTTGTGGCCGCGGCAGCGTTAATTTTTTTTTTGCTGCCGTCACCCTGGCACTTCAGGGCTTCGGAGCTTTTCGCTAAAGTGCCGCAACTTTGCATTCATTTGGTTATTTGGGGCTTCCGGATTCTTGATCAACGCAACATGGCCCCGAACACGCCCTAAACCCTAAACCTCAACAAACTCTATACCCTACACCCTCAAAAGGATCGAAGCCCCAAAACCACAGCAGTTGGCTTGGCTTTGCTCTGTTCAAGGCCAGCAGCGCCAAGCCAGAGTCCCAAGGCTACCGGCCGGGATCCTCAAGGAACGCCGGCTCTTCATTCAGTACATACATGTATGTATGTGTATATATGTATATGTGTACATATATATATACATGTATGCACACCATGTATATCCACATACGTATGTATATCATATGTGCATACACATGCACATATAGCTCTAGATGTATCTGTGCATATATGTATACACATAGAAATTCACGCATGTGTGTGTATACATATATATATATATATATGTCTATATGCATGTATGTATGTATGTATACATACATAATGGAAAAGTATTTACATGTTCACACATGTATTTTTTCTGGACGTATCTGCCTGTCTGTCTGTCTGTCTGTCTGTCTGTCTGTCTGTCTGTTGTGACATAGTCACGCAATTGCCGGGCTATGATCACTGTAGCACAGACTACGCAAAGCGTCAAAGTGAAAAAATGTCTGTCTGTCTGTCTGTCTGTCTGTCTGTCTGTCTGTCTGTCTCTCCGTCTCTCTGTCTCTCTGTCTCTCTCTCTCTCTCTCTCTGTCTCTCTGTCTGTCTGTCTGTCTGTCTGTCTGTCTGTATGGGTGCATATATGGATGCATGCATCATCTTGCGTTTTTTGCACTCAGCTCGTGCAGCATGTCTGCATGACTTAGGGATTCAGCTTCCTGGACCATGCTTTGGTTTGAGGACCGGGGTCAGCACAGCGATACCCTCGTCTCGGCCGCTCAGCGCCCTGGGTCCTCCCTCGTCGCGTGATTTGGATGCAGAGAGTTGAGAGGGTTTGCGGTGAGGATTCGGCCCAAACCTAAACCCGCACCCCAAGAAAGCAGTTTCATGAAGGTGCTGGCAACGACAGGAATGCCATGGTGCTCCGTTCTGCCATCTTGCTATACAGGAGCATCATAGTACTACAATGCTTGCTGTGTCTGGTCAGGAAGTCTTGCAGGTTCAGCAAGGATGCCTAGAGGTTTCGGCTTGCAATGGCACTCCAGGACTCGCAAGGTGCGCGATTTTCCGGGTTCAGACACCGGTTTAGGGTTTCGGGTTTTTTCCGGGGTTTAGGGCTTCGAGGGACGATATTCCAAGTTTACGCCGTGAGCGATGGCCTGCACCCTGCAAACAGCAGCCAGTAACCCAAAACATGCATCCCTAAGCCCTCAATCCGAAAGCACAGCCCGGGTTTAGCCAATGAAGCCCCCGGCACTTTGCAACCCTGAAGTAACTTATCATTACTATTGGTCTCATCATTACTGTATTGTTGTTTTCATTTCGTAAAATTGTTGTCGTTTATTGTCACTGCCCTCCGAGGCGGTTGTTGCTCGGCAAGCGCAGTGCCCTCCTCGCGCAGCCAAGCCGGTCGTCACGTGGCTGCGCCACTGCCGCCATCAGCTCCTCAGGTGGAGCTGCTGGATCCATATACGAGTATTCAGGAAGGGGAAGGTTTGGGTGAGTGTATATCTCGTACCAGCATGTCATATGGTGACATGTCTACCGATGATGGTTCTGCTTCGAAATCCATTTCGTAGCTCCTCGCAGCAGGTTTTGAGTTTCGAGGCTTCAGAATAGAGGGATCGGCATTTGAGGGTTTTGGTCGGGGTGCGTATCATTTCAGGATTCAGGTTCAGGAGCTGGAGTTTAGAATTTAGAAGGTCCTTTTTCAGGTAGCCCAGAGTGCCAGCCACCTGCCCTTGAGTCCTGGCGCCTGTGATCTTGTCCGGCTTTGAACACCTGACAGTAAAATGAACGCCGCAAGCTAGACATTTGACTGAGAAGTCGTGTACACTGTAAAGTGTAACGGTGTCACATCCCCCCTCTATGGTATGTTCAACCCTGGGACCCCGAACATCCACAGCTCTCATTGCCCACCGAAACAAATATCTCCAACTATCCCTTAAAAGGTTCCCACCCACATCCCAACCCATGAACCCTAATCCGCTGTACATGGGTGGTTGTCAAAAACAGGGTCCCTTTTCGGTCCTTAGTATAATACGGCACCTACTATTTCGGGTACCTAAAAAGGCACCCTAACTTTGACAACTACCCACATAGCTCTCTGCCCTCGAAATTCTAAAACTCTGAAGCCTTGGATGCCTAAATCCCAAACCGCTTGCTAAACTCTATTGCCCAAAGTCGAAACAGCTAAACCTCAAAACCTCCAAGAAATCCGAAACCCTAAACCCTACTCCCTAAGAAACACCCGAAACCCTGCACCCTAAACCCCTCCCTATGCCCTAAATCCCAACAAACTACACATAAAATGCACAAAACCCGTAAGAAACCCGAAACCCTAAACCTTACACCCTAAAACCCAAAGAAACCCGAAACCTTTAACCCTAAGCCCTAACCCCCAAATCCCTAACAAACCCGAAAAAAGCCCAAAGCCTTGGAGGAAGCACCGCACGCTCCCAGCCGTCCCCGGCCGCGGTCGGCGCCGTCGGCTCCTCCCCTTCCCAAGGCTGGCTTCAATATATCAAACATCACTATATCTATATATATATATATATGATATACATATACATACATATATATATATATATAGACAGATGATATGCCCATGTGTTTGTATATATATATATACATTTATATATATACGTACACATAGAGTTCAGTTTGTGACGTTGCAGTTTTTGTTTGAAAATCACGTGTTTAGGGTTTCAGGGCGGAGGTTTCAGCATTTGATTTTGTTGGGTTTAGCTTTAGGTGACAGGGTTTGGGGGCTGAAAGGTTTTAGGGCTCCAGCATCTGAGGGTGCAGACTGGGTCCTGGGGAGTTAAGGATCGCGGGATTCAAGAACTGAGGCTTGAGGATTGTAATTGACTTCAGTTCAAGCGAAGCAGTAGCCGCGGCCCCACTCAGGATTTTGGGTCTAGGCTCGGCTTCGACATGAATATGGTTGGGCTTGGAGTGTTAGGTGACTACGGCGTCGAATGAAGACTACAGCGACTGACTACAGGTTTTTTCTAAAACTTACGGACTCCCTAATCATGCGAAGCCCCCCTCTTCCGCAACAGCCATAAACAAAGCCTCCTACAGATCCCATGGGCTCACACTACTTAGTAAGGGTTTGTCTAAGCCCTGAACCCTGATAGCCTAAGCCCGAAGCCCCAAAACCTTTTGCGTTGTCTCTCGTGAGTGGCATATGCTAAGTTTTCAATACTATAATACTATAATGCTACAATACTATAACACTAAAGCACGAGACTACTACCAATCCTGTAATGCTTTAGTCCTATAATACTCTAATACTATAATGCTATAAGACTATAAGCCTATAAGATTACAATAATGCAGCACTATACTAATGCGAGGCGGAGGCGAAGACGAGGCCCGCCTCTGCCACAGAGGTGGGATTTGTGTGCAGTGTTTTTTTTTTTTTTTGTAGGGCTCTACGGTTTCAGTAGGTTGTGAGGTTTACGGCTGAGGCTTCCGGGTTCGGGAGGCCGCATCGGGGTTTTTATGGCAGCTGGAAAGATGAGGAGGACTGGGGGGCAGAGGAAGATTTCACAAGAGAAGCTACTTTTATACTCTTATAGAAGAGGACTATAATGCCACAGTACTACAGCACTAATGCGTTTCTTCCGCATCAGTGCCTTTGCTTGGTGTGTTGCCAGGTTCGCTAGAACAGCTGGCTGCTCTCCTTCTTCAACCACATCCGCTTCGTTGGCAGGAGTCTGACGAAGCGTGCGATGTTGGAACTCCGGCTTCGCAGGTCAGAGCGGCCAAAGGTCACCACTCTTTCTCTGCTTTGTTGTGGCCCCTGCATGTTACTGGTAGGTGTTTCACTGTCGCATGACTTTTCCATCAGTCTCAGCCACGGACTTGTTCTCATGAGGCGAGTCAGCTGTTTCTGATGCCTATCCGCTGTTGATACCTGTGCAAGCCGACAAGAGGCTCACAAAGGACAGGTCTTTCCAGCAGGAAGGCTGCCGTCAGAATTCGTGTCGTTATGCACGTCCAGCGGATCTTTTCTGTTTGGACTCTTTCAGGTGGCCGAGCAAACACACTTGAGCTCTTTTCTTTGCTGCCTGGGTTCGCTAGGGCAGTACCATTCTCATGAAGCATGACAGGAGGGGTTCGACATCCAATTGAACGGAGTGTTTGCAGTACTTTGCAGCCAAGCCAGGTCAAGTGTCCTACCACCTTTGAGCATTGTGCAAAAAGGCCCGAAGAGACTTTCATGGTTCTGATTGGGGTGATGATGATGGTGATGACGATGATGACGGTGACGAACTCAGTGGGTGCAGCTTTCAGTTCATCTTGATGACTGACAGTGAAGATGTTGTTGCTGCTACGGGAAAGTAGCAGAAGGCGATCATCGTTACTACTCATCCGACTAGCCCTGCGCAGCCGCATGCCATTGATTTGGTTGTGGCATGCTTGAACGAAAGTCCACCATTCGGAGCATCATCCAGGAGAGGGATCAGCGATTTCTGCTTCGATATCGTTGCATGCGAGGCATAAAGGTGTTCATGTACGTGGATACGTGCATATGCGCGTGCACTTACAGAGCGGTCGTATTGTATAAGCATTTTCTTCATTGGTGCATCCGCACTTGTGCTTGTTGATTTCCGCATGATGCCGGCAGTACAGTTTCTTTTCCTGTTTAAAGCGGACGCTCACGGGTGTATCTCGATATGTTTCAGTGTGCGTTCCGACGTCGAGCCGGTCTCCATTGTGTTGCACTAATCATCGCCATCATATACCACTGCATTCCGTCATCTTCTTGCCAATCTAGGCAGCAAAGGAGGTTATTTTGCGGGATCCAGTGCCTGCCCATTCTGGATGATTTCATGCAACACATGTCACCTTGTGTCGCTCGCATACAGTGTGTGTCGTATGACCTCTTGATGCTAAACTGCACTACTCTAAGCCACCGTGTATTCGCTGTCTGATACACAGTATGTATGCTTCGTCACCTATCAGGCAAGTCATGTTACATGAGATGCGCACATGATCGGGGACGCGAGCGACACGTAGGTAGGACGCAGGTGACTTGCTCGCATACGTCAGTGAAACGACGTGGAGCTGGCTTCCTTCAGGCCCAGTATTTTTGCAAGGACAGCAACACATGAAGTGAACGTCGCAATGACGACTATGACTATATTCGACGGCAGCAGTTCGTTGTAACCAGAACCTGGTAAAGTAGAAAGCCGCAGCAGTGGCAGCGTAGCTGCACGGACAGCGAATAACATAGGGGCCTTAATAACTCCCTACTATACTATCTTGGGGCTCCTTATTGTGATTGTAGTATAATGGCCCCAAAACCCTATTCTGATTGTTAAGGCCTCTATAGTAGAGCAGAAGCCTCTGGAGCAGGTATGAGAACTGTCTGCGACGCACGCACAGACGCAGAGAAGGAGATAAGATGCACACCCAGCACAGAGTGTAGCGCTGCCGTGCGTATGGCGCCATGAGCTCTGATTGGAACTGGATAAACCTGCCCCGGGCTCAATGCTGTCATTCTGCGACGGCTAGTCATGGCCAGTCGTGCCGTTTGCGTCCAATTTCCCACAACTTGAGCTCTTCTGTCGCCTTCGTCCACACTGACGCCCGTTTTTTGCCACCGCCGCTGCTACCGGGACAGTGATATGTGTTAATTGCTTGTCGAACTCCCATCGTACTAGTCAGGATGCCCTAGATCTTGATCCGGAAAACCCGAAACTGGCCCTGAACCCCAAGCTTCACAACCAAAAGCCTCAACCCCCAAACCCTAAAGCCCCTCCCCCGTGAAGTTACGAGGAGAACCCTCGACCCTAGTCCTAAACCCCTAAACCCTAAACCCCTAAACCCTAAACCCTAAACCCTAAACCCCGGAGCGCCAAAGAGTGGAAGCTTCCCAGGCCAGGAGGCCATGCGGAGCAGTTGGTGGCCGACTTGGAGGCGGCAAATTTGTGGCTCCGTTTGGTCTGTACTCGTACTTTGGGATTTAGGGTTTAGGGTTTGGAGTTTAGGGTTCAGGGTTTAGGATTCAGGGTTTAGGGCTTAGGGTTTTCGGTTCAAGCGTTGTTTGGGATTTATGGGTTTTTGGTGTAAGCTGTATTTTGGGATTGAGACTGATGTGGGGGACACTTTGGGATTTAGGGTGTTATTCAGGCTTTGTTTTGGGATCTAGGGTTTGAGGCTCAGGCTTCATTATTTTGAATTTTGGGGCCATCGGAGTTGTTCAGGCCCTGGCCTTTTATGGTTTTAATTCAGGAGTTGCGGGATTCAGTTGACAGGTTAAGTTAGGGTTTAGGGTTTATTAGGGGCATGCAGTTTTCTTGCATGATAGTATCACGTATCAAAGGCACCCTCATGTCGGCCCTATATGCCGGGATGCTTGCGGTAAAACCACGCAAGCCGGGACATGGGAAGCTGCGACACTAACTGGATGTCCGTCCATCTGTCGACGCTGGTGTGTACATTGGTGTTTTTCCGAGAAGGGAAAACCGATGTGATGCTATTCTCAGTTCCACTTTTGAGATTTTGCAGAAGGGTTACTGTAAAGAATTACTACAGGGTTTAGGGTTTTGGGGGGCTTACTATAAGGGCACTATAGGGTTTAGGTAAGGAGTCGTGGACAATCGTGGAGGCGAGCTTGCTTGTTGACACTTGCTTGGATTGCGTCGGGGTAGGAGAGACTGAGAGGGCTTAGACTGATGGATGCTGTCTTAAGACAAGCGGAATTAACCCTAAACCGTAAAGCCTGAAACCTAAACCCTAAACCCTGAACCCTAATCCCTGAACCCTAAACCCTGAACCCGAAACCCTAAACCGAATCCCACCTCTGATCTTACCGTCTCGTCGCAGGCGCTGCCTGCGGAGGACGGCAACCAACCTTGTACAGGCAAGGATGTGTGAAAGCGGCTTTTTTTCCGGGTGCAAAGTAGGGAAGGGGGGAATGGATCTTGGGGACTATTCTTAGGGATTATACAGGGACTACTTTAGGGATCCATTACCGCGTTCCCTACTAAGCACCAGGGAGTCATAGTAAGTAGCAGGAGTTCTGCAATGTGCCTCAGGTCGGGGCATGATCGTCGTCCAGACCAATGCTACGCCGTATGCTCAGTTCAGAAAAGCCGATCGGACATCTTCTTCTGGTCGTGGAGCACAAGTTGGCAGCAATGCTTCAGTCAGGACACACAAGCTTCAGCGAGTCAAGCTTTCATTCTGTGCGTCGTGCGCGGTTCAGTTGTCAGTATCGATGTCTTCCACTCGAAGGTGTTCCTTCCACATCAGCTTCAGCAGCACCGACGTTCTGCCCACACGTGGCACGGATGTCCCGACTCTGCGTGCCTCTGTTGCAGCTGCAGCTATGTATCTGCTTTTGCTGTTTCTCTTTCCCGCACTGCTGGTGGACAGCATTTGGAACTGTTGCAGTTGTGCAGGTTTGTGGTCTTGATCACTGAGTGCTGAGGCTTCGTGGTTGGCAAGCCGGGCGCCGGGCTGTTTCCATGTGTACCAGAAAGTGGAAATCGACGGAACTCTAGCAGTTTCGACCAGTATCAGTAGAGTTCGAAGCTTCACATCGAGCAATCAAGGCGCCGCAACACAATGACGAGCGTTGGTTTGGGCAACCCTTATCTGAAGAAGGCCATGGTCAGAGTCAAAGTGCGCACTTTAAAGGACATGCTGCTATGGTTACCGTGCTCAAGACTATGCTGCATTCATTACAAGAGACTATACCATGCTTCAGACAGGACTCGCCCAGGCCAGACGCGGCCAGACTAGACTGTACTGTGCTACACTATGCAATGCTTCACGACACTTTACCATAGTAAAGACCATACTCGAGATAGTACTGCAGACATGCTGTACTACACTATACTATGCTCTTCCATGCCATGCTATCGGACCTGTTTGTCCGAGTCAAGCCTGTGCAGGAGCCCATCGACTTCACTCGCCAGCAAGATGCGCTTCTGACGTCCAACCCGGAGAGGAGTCGCACGTTCTGGTCCCTCGAACTTAGATTTGTAACAGGTGCTGTATTGTATCTAGAAGCTAGTCTAGGGGTCCTTGCAATCAGGATCCTGCTTCTTTTGGATGGTTTTATCCCGCACTAAAGACTTCACAGACCCCCCTAGCCGAAGTTCCAGGTTTCTCTACGACAAAGTGGTCCAGGTGGCAGCTATGGGTGTGCAGGCATCGGGGGTGACGGGTCCATCCTGACTTGTTCCGCATTTATGGATTACGGTGTGCAGCAACATGTAAGATATACATTCATAATATTTGTACATCGCATGCTCCCGAGCAAACTCTTTTGGACCAAGTGCCAGATATTTTGCCGGAAAGACCCGGATTCATTCGGCCAGTCATTCTCGCTTGTCGCTCAAACTCTGACCATGTGCACAGTGTCTTGAGGTTCCCCAGTGCGTCGCATCGATGCTGCTTGAGATGTGTGATTCCCCATCTGCATATGTTTACATGGCCATTTATGTTGTAGGTATGTATGTGCATGCTCTTGTGTATATGCACGCATGCATTCACATGCATGCGTGGATCTTCGCACGTATGTAGGTATGTATGTATGTATATATGTACGCATGTACGTCTCGAATGTTCACGGCATTCATTGGAGCCATGCGCTATATTTCGTGTGTCAATGTCTTCATGACCTCGAGTACCTTACCCAGCCTTTTGC